TTTGTTTCTTTAGGTAGATATACTCCTAAGTATTTTATTCTTTTTGTTGCAATGGTGAATGGTATTGTTTCCTTAATTTCTCTTTCTGTTTTCTCATTGTTAGTGTATAGGAATGCAAGGGATTTCTCTGTGTTAATTTTATATCCTGCAACTTTACTATATTCATTGATTAGCTCTAGTAATTTTCTGGAAGTTTTTCATTTTTATTTATCCTGTACATTTGTAGTGAATCCCTATTATGCACCTGATTGCTTGTTGCTGGGATACAAAGATAGCCTAGATGCAGGCTAGACCTCCAGAAGCCCAGGCAGCCCTCATAGACTACAGAACTTTGCCTAGGACATGAATTTGATTAGCTGGAGAGGAGTAAGTCTGTCTTCCCAGAGACTGACTGGGGTGAGGAGAACATATACTCTGGCTGCGTCAATGTGACATATATACACACATATATATACATATGCTGCTGCTGCTAAGTCTCTTCAGTTGTGTCCGACTCTGTGTGACCCCATAGACGGCAGACCACCAGGTTCCCCTGTCCCTGGGATTCTCCAGGCAAGAACACCGGATTGGGTTGCCATTTCCTTCTCCAATGCATGAAAGTGAAGTCACTCAGTCGTATCTGACTCCTAGCAACCCCATGGACTGCAGCCCACCAGGCTCCTCCATCCATGGGGTTTTCCAGGCAAGAGTACTGGAGTGGGGTGCCATTGCCTTCTCCATATATATGTGCATATATAGCAATTCTGACCACTTCTCCCCAAATTAATTTGTATGAATGGAATTTTCAAGTAGAATACATACCTATTTTGAATTTCATTCCAGAGATGAATCATAATGCATCAAATCATAGAATTTTATAACCTGCATATAAGGTTTAAATGACAATGTGGAATCTCATCCTCTACCCTCCATGCTCTTCCCCCTCCTTATTTAACAAAATAAATATACTGCCTACCCTTTAGTGTTTGGGAAATGACTTTAGGACAAGGTAAAGGTTGTGGAAAGGGACAGATGAACCTAGGCTGCCTTCTTCTTACCCTCAGCTGCAGGGAAGTAGCTCCTGAAGCAAAGTTTTGTTCCCTGGAATAAATAACAGTGGGCAGAGAGGAAGCAGATCATTAGAACTTTTATGTTTTTCACAGTAAGCTGGCTCATCGGGTATAATCAATGTGAATCAGTCAAAGAGTCAAAGTGAGAAGAGGAAGTAGGAGGAGGAATCAGACAGAACAGCTCAGAAAAAGAGGGAGAGGCAGAATAAAGCAGCGGGGAAGCAAGACGGAGGAGCATGGTGGTCACCACAGGGCCAGAGGGGTCAGGGGCCAGTGGCTCCAGCTTGGGCACTGGCGGAGGGGAAACGGCATGGGAAGGCAGCTCAGGACTGAGGTCAGAGAGGGAGGAGGGACAGTGTGTGAGGGTGTGTGAGGTCTGGACACTGTTAACTCAGTGGCTTTCAGGTTTGCCAAGAACTAGCAGAGCAACGCCTGAAAGCATAACCAAAACCAGAACAGGGACTAGGTTATCAGAATAAAACATGCAAGGCAGAGTGCTTATGAGTCACTTATTTATCCCCCAGAGGACAAAGCAAGGCGCCTTGTTCAGAGCAGGCCTTTCCTACATAAATATTAATAATCGAGAGAAGATGATAAGGAAGCTAAGAGAGAAGGGAAGAAAGGAGAAAGAGAGGGGGGTATGGGAAAAATGCCAAAATCTTCTATAAACTTGAATCCTTAAAAAAAAAAAAAAAAGAAAGAGAAAGCCCTACATATTCTAGTTTTACACAGCCTGCTCACTTGAAAGGCACCAACAACTGCCCCACATTCATGTCTGCACCTCTTGGTGTGTGGACGACTGTCCGCCTTTAGTACCTGCCTCAAAGAGAATCAAAGGACCGAGGCCAGAAGGATGCTCAGAGTGCAAGCCTCTTTCTGGTTGCCTGCAGTGAGCCTTTCCAGATCTAATGCTACATGGGCCTTCTGGCAGCCAGCCAGCAGCCTGGTGACATATCCCTAGCTGTGTTCACCCTTCCCAGCATTAGTGGAGCAGTTGATCTCAGAGGCCCGGAAATTAGATAATGGTTGCTGGGAGAATGCTCTTTCCTCATAAGTCTGTGCTAATGGGTCACATGTTAATTAAGCTGGGAAAATTAGATTTCAAATGTATACCTTTTCATTGTCACACAATCAGATCGGAGGATTCTCACTATTATTATTTCAGGTTCAGATAAGACACACAAATGGTGATGTAGATATATATGTAGCTATAGATGTATCTATTGCTATGAGTCAAATTGGGTCCCCCCCACCCAAACTCATATGTTAAAGTCCTAACCCCAAATAAGTACCTTAGAATGTGACTATATTAGAGATTGGTTCTTTAGAGAAGCAACTGAGGTAAAATGAGGTCATGAGGGTGGGCCCTAATCCAATCTGACTAGTGTTCTTATAAGAAAAGGAGATCAAGACACACATACAGAGAAGATCATGTGAAGACACAGAGAGAAAGAATCCACTTGCAAGTCAAACAGAGAGGCCTCAGAAATCTGCCCTGCTGATACTTTGATCTTGGGCTTCTAGCCTCTAGAATCATGAACAAATAGATATCTGTTGTTTCAGTCACCCAATCTATGGTACTTTGTTATGGCAGTCCCAACAAACTAATAGAGCTGTTAATATCATTTTTATTTTAACTTTTATATTATTGGTCAAGAAAAACTATTGGAATTCTCTGAAGAAATGCTCCTAAAAGTCATTAAAAGACCATGATGGATATCATTATCATGCTACTCCACCATTCTAAGCAAATACACAAATGTACTCCAAGGAAGAGCTCCAAATACAATCCATTTATTCCTTCCCACCAGGTCATGAAGCCTCTGCATGGTGCCTCTTGATACAAAGAGGTAGTGGTCCTCAAGACACTTTTAGTACTTGTTCTTAATGGTCTCCTTATTTGGTGAACTCACCCTATTAAGACTTTGTTTTATTCTGGGCATCTGTAATCAATAACCTCAGAAATGTCATGAGGCAATGGAGAGAGGCCTGCACTGGCAGGGCTAGTTCTGGTTGCAAACCCAGCTCCATCACTTTGCCTATGACTTTGGATGTCTTTATCACTTTCTATGCCTCTGCTCTTTCACCTGA